GAAAATCGTAAGCGCCAGCGCTAATTGTGGTCAGCAACATAACGTCGTCGTTATTGCGCATGCGATAAATCTCCAAGAATCTTGGAGATTTCATCGTATTTTACCAGGGTCTTCCTCAGCTCGCGCGCAACAACGAGGAAGACCCTGGGGACGAGGTTGAGAGAACATGATGTAAACCATTCTCGTACCCAGAGCCCTTCTTACGTGCGTTCGACCGAGCGCGACGAGGGGCTCTGGCCAAATCCATATCCGAACTGGCATCTGATTGGCTAGTTCTAATACCGGATATTGTTTTCTTACCATGTTTTTATGGTATCCGGTTATGGATTTGGCCAGAGGCCCTCGTCGCGCTCGGTCGAACGCGCGTAAGAAGGGCTCTGGGTACGAGAATGGATGTAAACAAAATACAGAAATAATACGAAAGTATTAAAATGCTATATACTGAGTGTGGGTTATTTGAGATTAACTTAGTTTGTTCCGCTATAAAAAGATTTTCTGCGCTGGAGAAGAGCTGCCATCGCGGCATGACTTGAGTTGACGGCATGACATGTTTACTCTATTACAGTAATAATATTTGTAAAATATAAAATGTTAGTCACTTGCTTATCGTTCAAGGTTTTAAATTTTGATAATCCTATGACTATTTATTTTGCCAATATTTTTCCGTTGTCTGTTAACTAAGGGCAACCATACTGGCTCCGTTGCACACACATATATAAATATTTATGTATTTATATTCTTGCACTTTCGACTTTATACGTCCGCTAATACAAACGGCATTCCACAAATTTAACAACCAGTAAGGTGGCTTTTCGCTTTGTGCGTTGCGAGAATAATCTACATGTTTCTAATGAATAATCTACATGTTTGGGCTGCTTATTTTTAATATTTTACACAGGCTGCCAAACACTGCATCTACATGTTTCTAATGAATAATCTGCAAACCCAGTGGTGCCTAAATTACTTTGATTTTATACTTGAGTAAAAGTAGAAGTAATTCGCATTAAAACGACTTGAGTAAATGTAAAAAGTACTGGAGAGAATACGTACTTGAGTAAAAAGTACAAAGTATTTTTCACAAATACTTAAGTACAAGTAAAAAGTACAAGTACTGTATAGAGTATATCGAGGAATGATACTCTGGATTAGACTAATAGCATAGAATAAAGATCCATATAGAAGGGCCACTTACGTCGGAAGCTTTGAAGTTTCTGTCCTCGCGCATGTCGCATTACGCATGTTGGCCGCCAGTTTCCTAGCCAGTCAATGACATTTTCTGGCCAATAAACACGCTGTACTGGCTGGCTGCTCCGCCTTCTGGCCAGTAAACTGCATATTTTTGCATAAAAAAACGAGGACACGTTGCACCCCTGAGTGGCCCTTCTATATGGATCTTTATTCTATGACTAATAGACCACCAACAATACGATAGTTACATACCGCAATTTTACCTTCAGGCCTCTTGGGATTTGCAATTTTTTATTAAATTTTAATTAAGCATTACTGGGGGATTATGATGGGTGTCTACGGCTACAAGGGATTTCAAAGTTGCAATTTAATACCAATGACACGCAAATACGTTTTTCTAATGAGAGATCACACACAGCAATTACAACATAGCCAGTATATATTATAGTTTTATTTACAAAACATGGACGTTTTTCCTAGTTCTGGCAATATCAACGAATTATTAGTCATCAGAGTTTCACTGAGTGCACTATGTTTTATGGCAAGTCTATGGCCGATTTTGAAGGAAAGACTTATTCAGTTTCAATAAAAGTTGATTTTCAAAGTTCTGGTCTCCGATACGTGACCTCAATGGGGTAAAAATACGACCTGCTGCACTGAACAAACGCTCACACGCTGCACTAGCAGGCAGAGCTGTGTTTGTTTTGATGAAAAGATCTTTTAAGAGAAGCCACGTGGTAATGGAAGATGTCTCGGTTGACTGACTAGACAAGTATTCACTGCAAAAAATCCATTTTCGCTTTGAGTTATTTTAACACATAAATTTGCGTAAAATGCAATGTTTACTCAGTTTAAGAGTATTTTTACTCGAATATGCTGAGTATACTCAGTAAACTCAAACACCTGAGTAAACTATTTTGAGTAAACCACTATCGTTTACGCAGTTATAATCGGTAAAATTACTCATTTGAGTAAGTTGCTTCATATTTACTCGTTATTCTCGAGTAGAATCGATGTTTTACTCTAACATTGAGTTAATATACTTTCCAGACTGATCGAGTTACTCAAAGCTGAGTAAAGACTGCGAATCTACTCAATGTGAGTAGAATGTACTGGTCACTCATGGTTTGAGTATTTTTACACCGGTAAATTTTTGAGTATTATTACCACCAGCTACACAAATGTGATGAGTAAATTTACTCAAAGGGTAAATTTACTCAAAGACCGTATCAAACAGTTTCCTCAGTGACTCAAAACTTGTGAGTAAATTGACTACAATACTCTTCAGATGAGTCAACTCAGCATCGGACAACCGGCTTTACTCACAAATAGCAGGACAAATAGCATCGATCAAACATCGGCAAGAAATTGCTCGGTGAATAAATGTGATCGACTCATCGACGAAAGTCGGCAATAAGTCATGGCTGCCGATCATCATGTGATCGGGAACTTTGGGACTAGGTTATTTCAAGTCCTGATTCCTGAATAGAGTAATTCGTCATCTATATTCATCACACGATAACAACGTTGAACCATAGTTAATAAATAGAAAGCACGAGGTCATGCACAGCATATATTTCAGTGCGGTTGCTTATTCTGTGATATTACGCTGCGATCAGAACACACGCAGCGATAGTCTTGTCAATAATCCCCTGCCTTTACAGTGACGTAAATCATATCTGACGACGCGGTAAGTTCAAATTTCAGTGCCTCGTGAATGCTTTGGTGGACATATATTATTCATCTGTACCGCGAGGAATTTCATGGCGAAAAGCGTCAACTTCTTCTTCTTTTATATCGAAGATGGTAAATAGTGTAAGAGGCATGAAGACTTGGCTTACAGAGATGGGTTTGGGAGATTGTTGTCTCTCATTTGAAGGTATATTTCCAGATTTTTTTCATGTAGACGTTTGGACAAATAAACAGCAACTGAGTTTGGTTTACCGCGCTTCATTCGCATTTGCTTCACTAGTTTAAACTTTGTCGCGTCATGATTGTCTACTTTAGAATTTTCGAAGCTTCCAACGGGCGATTATAACAGAAACAAACTAAAGACGAAAAGCGCATTTCGCATCACAAAAAGCGTTAAGATTGAGCGCTGTTAGCCGCTGTGGTATTGTGGCACAATGCGCGCCTCCCTCCATATGGACGTTTGCAGTTGTATGTTTGCCTAAATATAAGTTACATTGATCGATTATATTTTCTTTACTCACAACTCTACGTGTTTACTTACGCTTAAGACAAATATTTGTATGTCTGTAACTGTATTTATAAGAAGGGAAACGGATTTAACTACAGAAAATTCAAACCATCGGCAAGGTGTAATACGATACGTTTGCATTGCCATTGCGCCTATTAAGCTATGTGACAGCCTGTCTGTTACACAGTTTATATGCACAAGTGTAGCCTTTCTAAAGTCTAAAGTCTAACGCCAGAAAAGTATGTTTTATAAAATGCTTTCATGTTTCATATACTGCTAGATAAACAAAATTGCTGACCACGGTGCCAGTGTAATTTATTTGTTAAATAATCTAAAAGTCTATATATTGTTTGCGCCAGTCACTTCCTTCAATTTGAGCTTGCAATCCGCCAATCCACAAGATAGAAGATTAAAGAAAATCATATAGAAAATAACTATTGTAAGAGCAATTAGTAATTATTAGAGTACATGCATGCATGGACATAAGCTATTCTCCTGAAAGCCTTTCAGCCCGTTCTTTGTTAATTAATATAGAAACCCAAATACATGAAGATGAATTCATTGCTTTAACAGAAAGAGAAGACGTTCAGGACGAACGTCTTATACTTGTGGTAGGTCATAAAATGAAATTTTTTGAAGGCTCTGGGGGGGGGGGGTTGTAAAACCATTAGCCTGCGAGCAGGCTCTCATCTTAGAGCCTGATCGCAGGCTAAATTCCATATTTATTTTAAATAAACTCCCAGCAAAATATACAAAAGGACTTGACGTGAGTATTTTACATGTATTATCATTGTATTTTATTATGTACTATACCTTAGAAAGGCTGGGGTGAGGCAAACCATTCGGTTTTGACATTTTTCATCACATGAATCAACATTTTCAAATTAATTTAATAAGGCAGTTCAGTATTTTTATGACTACAAACAAATACTGTAATCTATAATTTGTAAATTTGTTGTCCTCTCTGCCGAAGATGGCTGATGTTCTCCAGTTTTGAAGTTTGAAAACATATATGTCTATACTTTTGCACTCTGGTGTTGCTGTGCAAGTGTGGCGACAAGCCGCCTTTCGCCGGCACCCCTCTTTGGTGGCTGATTAACAAATTGGCCGCCTGATATTGGGGACTTGTATATAGGTATATATGTGCATGACATTAAAAAAATGAAAGCTTTTTGGAAATTATTAATTAACCTGGCAATTTGAAAGAATTATATATTCTCCAGTTTTGAACAACATATATGTCTATACTTTTGCACTCTGGTGTTGCTGTGCAAGTGTGGCGACAAGCCGCCTTTCGCCGGCACCCCTCTTTGGTGGCTGATTAACAAATTGGCCGCCTGATATTGGGGACTTGTATATAGGTATATATGTGCATGACATTAAAAAAATGAAAGCTTTTTGGAAATTATTAATTAACCTGGCAATTTGAAAGAATTATATATTCTCCAGTTTTGAACAACATATATGTATATACTTTTGCACTCTGGTGTTGCTGTGCAAGTGTGGCGACAAGCCGCCTTTCGCCGGCACCCCTCTTTGGTGGCTGATTAACAAATTGGCCGCCTGATATTGGGGACTTGTATATAGGTATATATCAGAGGAGGAGTGGTCACTATACCACAATGCATTGCTTCTCATTAATATTCGGAATTGAACTTTGCGAGTCTTTGAGAGATGTTTGTCGAAAAATTGTGGTTTTCTATCGCGAATTTTCACTCTGAAAATTTTGATTTTTGGAAGGTACGTTTTTATAATTGTTTTATTTGTGACCTTAATTGCACGATTTTTGTTTTATGTGGTTGTCGTATCATGCTTCAGTGATGTTAATCACGCATTGAATTACCCTTGGTTTCGGGTCAGTGCACATGTTACAAAAGTGCCTCCGATACTCGCCGGGGGTTAAATACTTTTTAAATCAGGAAATTCAACAAAATTTGCAGCATCGAATTCAGAAAGGGTTATTCTTTCTATTGATACTTCAAAACACAAATAACCCCCTCGAACTGACGAGTTATCGCGGTTTGAAAATGGGGTATATTTCGGGGCTATAAAAGAAATGGCATTGATATACGCCGGGGGTTAAATAGTTTATAAATCGGGAAATAAACCTAAATTCACATCATTGAATTCGGGGAGGGTCACGGTTCTAGCTGATACTTTAAAACATTAATAATCCCCTCCAACCGACGAGTTATCGCGGTTTGAAAATGGGGTATATTCCCGGTATAGTGCCATGACACGAAAACGGCTTTGATATATGCAGGGGGTTATTAGGTTTATAAATCGGGAAATTTAATAAAATTCACATCATTGTATTCAGTAAGGGTTACTCTTTCTATTGGTACCTTAAAACATAAATAACCCCCTGAAACCGACGAGTAAATCGTTGTTTGAAAATGGGGTATTTTTACTTTTGTTGTCACCAATCGCGGGAAAAGAGGAATTCTACAGGAAATATGGCGCGAATGCAACGTAAACAAGCCAGCTTTTCTATAAACGTATTGTTCCTGATTGTATCATTTGTTTTTATAGAATTCGACTTATTCGAGTTTATTGGAGCAAAAAATGGAACTATTAATGATGGCGATGTTGTCATTGTTGATCATGATTTAGAAAATGAGGAAACTCAAATTTAATACTGATACGCCAGGAAAATATCTCGTGTGGAGAGTTCATCATTCACTCCATTCAATCGAGCTTTGTTTCAAAGTCCTGGCACATCAGCAAAGGTATAATAAAAAAAAATATGGTAGACGAAATTGTACTTATAAATGTACTGTTATTCTTTGCTATTTTATTCTTATAAATTGTCTTTGACTCTTTGTATATTCAGTGTAAAGCTGGAGTAAATACGAGCAACAAAATTGCTGCAACTTGCAACAAAATCTGATTTCAACGCATGTACGAGGCAACATGTGTCAACATTTCTATGACTTGTATTAAGTTATGTGTCAACATCTCCACTTAACATCTGTTGAAATCAGATTTTGTTGCAAATTGCAGCTATTTTGTTGTCTGTATTTCTCCACCTTAATACCTCTGTGTAACATTATTCTGCAGTGTAACATTATTCATGTATGTTTATTCATATGTCATCTGCGCCCCAATTTCCATTTTAGTAAATGACATACTTTTTTGTAGTTTCCTAGCAGAAAGATCAGGCTGACTCTGTCAGAGAAGTCACCAGTGAAAAAAACATAAATGGACCTTTGAGGAAAATAAAGCTTTGATCAAGTTGATATCTATTGCCAAAAAAGATCCATGGATCTGGAGAAATTTTGTCCATAACAAAATAAAATAACAACAATTTACCGCATTAGCCTAGTAATCTATGTCACTGTTATAATGGGTCGTTCCAGAAAAGATCCATACTCCCCCCACAGAGGAAATTTCTGCCGTCCGGAGGGGGAGGAGAGAAAAAATTGTTTCTGATAATAGTAAATGTATTAGGACATCCGAAGGGGGTAGGGGGGTTAACTTCCTATTTCCTCCGTGGGGGCAGTATGGATGTTTTCTGGAATGACCCAATTGTAGGGATCCATAATAAAATAAATATGTAGGAATCCATAATAAAATAACAACAATTTACAATATACTTCTTGTGTGTGTTGGTTTTATTTACTCAGGTGAATATGTTTGTGATGTTACTCTGAGTATGCATCCACACCGAGCTGAGCTCAGTTGGTAGAGCATAATTGGACTAATATCCCAAAGATGGCAACTTCGATTCCCACCATGGTCAGGCAAACTTTTCAGCTTGCCCGGTGTGGATGCACACTCAGAATAACATCACAAACATCAATTTACAATATTCTAGTAATCTATGTCACTGTTATAATTGTTTCTTGGATCATCTCTGTCCCATGGTCCACTTTTCGCAATAAGCAATGCTGCACTGTAGAGTAATAGTACCCACCAAGCACACTGAATTTATTGGTTGTAGATCACAGTTATATCCAGTTTGCCCTTGTAAATTTATTAGTGACAGCACACTGTCCAAATCTTCATTAACAGTATCTGGACCTTGAGGTTGAGAAGGTGGCAATGGCAGAATATCTAAATCCCACAAAATAACATTCCCAAAGATAAAAGATTGTCCTGTTCCATCTCGTCTTAGATCACTGAGGTCAGAGAACTGCAATATATAAAAACAATCTTGTGTTTAACCCTTTAAGTGCCAGCGTTAGACAGAGTAAAATATTAAAGTAGGGCGCATGAGGGCACAATGTGACTCAATGGGTTAACTAGGCACATGGGCAGATAGGCCAGCTGCCATTAGAAAGAGTAAAATAATCTGGCGTTAGAGTAAAATAATAAAGTAGGGTGCATCAGGGTGCAATTAATGCAACTCGATGCAATTCAATGGGTTAATTACTTTAATAGTACGTATAAAATACCAAAGTAATCAAACCTCTATGATCAAACCAAATGAACAGTGTTGGCTTCTCTAACTTAAACTATTTTTTAGCTCTATATGCATATATTCATATATTAATAAATATCTATCTATCTATATTCAAAATAGAAAGCACAAATATTGTTACCAATATTGGCTATAAAAATGTGAATCATAGAAAAAGCAAGAAGCATTGCGTAGATACATTGCCTTTGTATTGGCTTTAAGGATTAAAACAAACGACTTACCCTACAAACACAACTGGAATGTATCTCTATACTCTATCAATGCTGGGCTATTGCAATCGGCGAAGATTTCATCAACTTTTAGAGACAAATATAGCGATTCTTCTGATGTGAATCTCACGGCATTGAAACTGAACACACGATAACCCATAGGAACCAACAGCATAGGCTCTGACGATCCACAATGAACAAAAAGAAGACCGTGTCCTTCCAAAACTGAAGCTTTATGGCGGTGAATCGGCTTTACAAAATCCGCCATATTTCTCACTCCTGTTGTTTTGATAGCGAAGGTCAAGAGAACAATAACCGCCCGCTCGTGGAAAATCAATAATATATAATTAATTGGAATAATCGCAATGCATCACGGTATAGTGACCACTCCTCCTCTGGGTATATATGTGCATGACATTAAAAAAATGAAAGCTTTTTGGAAATTATTAATTAACCTGGCAATTTGAAAGAATTATATATTCTCCAGTTTTGAACAACATATATGTCTATACTTTTGCACTCTGGTGTTGCTGTGCAAGTGTGGCGACAAGCCGCCTTTCGCTGGCACTCCTCTTTGGTGGCTGATTAAAGTTGGCCGCCTGATATTGGGGACTTGTATATAGGCATATATGTGCATGACATTAAAAAAATGAAAGCTTTTTGGAAATTATTAATTAACCTGGCAATTTGAAAGAATTATATATTCTCCAGTTTTGAACAACATATACTGTATGTCTATACTTTTGCACTCTGGTGTTGCTGTGCAAGTGTGGCGACAAGCCGCCTTTCGCCGGCACCCCTCTTTGGTGGCTGATTAAAATTGGCCGCCTGATATTGGGGACTTGTATATAGGCATATATGTGCATGACATTAAAAACATGAAAGCTTTTGGAAATTATTAATTAACCTGGCAATTTGAAAGAATTATATATTCTCCAGTTTTGAACAACATATATGTCTATACTTTTGCACTCTGGTGTTGCTGTGCAAGTGTGGCGACAAGCCGCCTTTCGCCGGCACCCCTCTTTGGTGGCTGATTAACAAATTGGCCCCTGATATTGGGGACTTGTATATAGGTATATATGTGCATGACATTAAAAAAATGAAAGCTTTTTGGAAATTATTAATTAACCTGGCAATTTGAAAGAATTATATATTCTCCAGTTTTGAACAACATATATGTCTATACTTTTGCACTCTGGTGTTGCTGTGCAAGTGTGGCGATTAACCTGGCAATTTGAAAGAATTATATACATGTATTCTCCAGTTTTGAACAACATATATGTCTATACTTTTGCACTCTGGTGTTGCTGTGCAAGTGTGGCGACAAGCCGCCTTTCGCCGGCACCCCTCTTTGGTGGCTGATTAACAAATTGGCCGCCTGATATTGGGGACTTGTATATAGGTATATATGTGCATGACATTAAAAAAATGAAAGCTTTTTGGAAATTATTAATTAACCTGGCAATTTGAAAGAATTATATATTCTCCAGTTTTGAACAACATATATGTCTATACATTTGCACTCTGGTGTTGCTGTGCAAGTGTGGCGACAAGCCGCCTTTCGCCGGCACCCCTCTTTGGCGGCTGATTAACAAATTGGCCGCCTGATATTGGGGACTTGTATAGAGGCATATATGTGCATGACATT